GTGCTCTTGTATTTTCAATTTTCCGGCTTAGATTTCTTTTAATATTCGTCACGCGCTGCACTGCGCGAGAAATAAAACCATTTAATTTATAATTGAACTAACATTAGCTTTTTAAATACCAAATTCGTAACATTATTATGCATGATGAAAAACATTTGTATATACATTCATTATTTTAAATCTTATTCATTACATTAATACTAATAAATATATATTAACATCTTCTAAACCATCGCATCTCTCTATCTGTATGTAAATATATGACTTATTAGGTGTGTATATATATGTATGTATGAATACAAAAATGAACATTGCCAAGAAGTTTTTTTGAAGTTACTGTTAATTCAGATAACGATTATGTAATTGGCAACTATAGTTATCAGTTCGTTGCAAATTATTATGGGTATGCAATAATCAGTTGAAAATTAATTGATGAGTATTTGAGTACTAAAGAGTGTACACATTTTGTTATTGGTTTAATTCATAATTATATCATATGTATGATCTACGTAATAAAAACATGACTAATAAATAATAAGAAATGTAACAGCTGTGCATTTATAACATTTAATTACTTAAAACATTACACAACTGATTATCACCTTCATGTCTGTTTACATAATGAATTGCACTTTCCAATTAAGTGCACGGGCCTACTAGTGGCCAAAGTGTCGTTGAACACTGGTAGTTCTGTCTCAGGTTAGAATGCCGTGAACGGGCTGGCTACATGACGTTTCCTAGGTTTGCCCCATTTGTAACTGGTATACGAGCCAGTTTTAAAAAATCTTCTACAAAGGGATCCCTCCTGTTAGACAGATATCCTTCGAGGCTCACATAAAACAAACTCATGATGAGCACCACCTAATTTCTAGAGTTATAATTAATGTGTTTTAGGTGTATTACCGAGTGTTCTTTGGGACAGTAAACAACTCGCACATGTTTGATTGCTCATGTATTCATATGCTTTATTTGATCTTCATTTTGCTGAATAGTATCTGCTGGCTGTGAGGATGTAAATATCAGCCATATAGACTTTTGTCATAAAAGTTTTTTTTTTTTTTTTCTGTTTGTTTGTTTGAATGGACAGTAATTATGAGCCATAAAGTTAGTCAAGGTTAGAAGGTGGTCACCAGGTCACAAATTTTCCAGTAAGCCAACAAATTTTCATTGCAATGCAGACAACAGAAAATACACATAAGTAATGTCTGATAAATAGACTTATCCAGCACACGTTTTAAACTATTTTTAGTGTATACAGAATTTGGCTATTACTGATGTAATTGATTACTATAACCAGAAGTGTTTTTAATCTGTTACTTGAAGTGCCAGAGTGGAGATCAAAGTGACTAACTTGATAGCAATCACCTTTCTATTATCTTCCATTACTAACAATAAAGTTTAAAACGAAAAGCGTGTGAGCGATACAAAACAACTCAAAGAAGCGAATGTCACTTGAAAGGAAACGTCACTTTCGCCAATCTGAGCGATAACTGACTAGCGAATGTCACTTGAAAGGAAACGTCACTTTCGCCAATCTGAGCGATAACTGATTCTTGTTTGGCTTTCAGCCTGTTTACCAAGTGAAGATGGTAACCCTATTTCGCCAAATAGCGTTTCTCAGAACTGTTGCTGCAAACATTTTGTTCCGGCAACAAATATCGTATGTGATAAAGGTTTTAACTGACAGAGGACCGTTACCTTTTTTTGTGCGTTCTAAAAGCACGAAGAGCGGCTGACGCACTGCACTGGTTGAGGTAAAAGAATTTGACCAGTAACGCACGCTCGACGAAAGAAGGAGACATTGCACATAAACTTTCAATCCGATTGATTCGAAACGTAAGACATTGCCTTTTAAAACCCAAGCAGCTGGCACTGTGCGAATGGATGTAACGTGAAATTTGAATAAAGAAATTCTTCTGCTCAGCGTACATGATATTGCAGATCACGAGACTTTATCGGTGTTTATGTAGATTTTACGCTTTTTTAAAAGTGTTGCCATATTGCACTTGAACTAAATCAGAAAATGTGCATAATAAAAGGTAATTTTATTCCGTATTAATTTGCATTTGTTAACACTCCATTTTCTATTACACAGCGCCAAATAGTCCCCTAGCGGTGACTTTTGGAAGTAATTTGTTTCTTCGCGGAATCCTTCGTCCCCCGTCTTGTTTAATCTTCTTACAAAATGTGGCGTCATTCTCGCAAATAGATCGCGCTACAGAACACTGTGAGCACTGTCAGTTTAATTATGGCCACCCGGTATATTTAAAAACAGCATATCTTTAGTTCCAACAAACAGGAATAAATAAGTAGAATTGGCTTTAATATGTGAAAAAACATCAAGTGTCATCCATTACAAGTTTTAAAAAAATGTATTTGAACTTGGGTGGATGAATAAAAAGTATTTTATTGACGACTGAAAATTTGAACAAGATATAAGGAGAATGTGAGTTACTAGTAGGAATTTAAAAATGGTAAGTTGTAAAAGTAAAAATGGTCCGCGTACCAATGAAATAAATGGTTAAAGAAAACAAAAAATTGCAACAGGAATTTATTTTAAGCCATTTCACCTTGATGATTTTTGTTTTTCCTAATATTTAATAAAATGGTAATTGTTAAGCATCTGATTCGTTTCTTATATTTTATTTTCTCTAAATGTGTTAAAAGTTTAGTCAGAGATTTTCCATCAAACCGAATAAGATTTATTTAAATACATAAGGAAGAACAAAACTGTAACAGAAATATTTGGATATGTTACCAAACTATTTTATCTAATGCCATATTGTGGTGATGTGAATAGCTTACAGCAGGCGACCTCCAGTTGCGATGAGGATAGGTTCTCCAATATTATGTCTCCGTGACTCGAACAGAGACTCGAATTATCTAAACGTTAGGCGCACCTTTCTGGTGTACGCTCTGTATGAATATATATTTTATTTGTTTCTATGCTTTGTTATTGAATACGATTAGAGCTAGCCGGCGTTTGTGTTTAGAGAATTACTTGTAATGCAGTTTTCCGTTTAAATAAGTTATGAATTTTAATATTGGAATTTTCTGACAGGTAATGGAAATTTAAATTGGGATCAACTTATAAGCTTCAGTTTCTTGTATTAATCAATTCTGTTATTATAGGGTCAATAATAATATGTTACATAACATCTTGTATACTGAATCGAAAATATGATTTTTGTTTTATTGCTTACTCTGAACTCGTCAAGGTATGCACTGCCACTAGTTTAAGATAATAAGATGTTTTCGAATACTATGTGTTTATTGAAATATTGCTTCAAACTTTATAATGTTTTATATTTTCTTATAAGTATCATACGTAATGTTAATTCAACTCATGTGAATAATTTGAATCTTACGTATTTCATTTTCAGGATCTAGAGAGGAAATGGCTGAAGTCTTAAAACGACCACGATACCAAACCATTAACAGCATAAGAATTCCAGACTTCTTTTCCCCAAAATGCTTCAATGAAACACTGAATTACAAACCTAAGCCGGCTGATGTTTTCATCGTAACTTACCCAAAGTGCGGAACAACCTGGATGCAAAATATTGCTATGTATATCTTTCGTAAAGGAAAAGAAATGGACCATCCGCAGGATTTTCTCAGATTATGTCCTTTCATCGACATGATCGGAGCCGAAGGCATCACAAAAATGCCAAGACCTGGAGCAATGAAGACACATTTACCTTATACACACATGCCGTACTCTTCAGAGGCTAAATACATCTTTGTTGCGAGAAATCCCAAAGACTGTTGCGTATCTTTATATTATCATACCAGGGATCATGACGGTTATGAGTACTGGGATGCTGAATTTGATGATTTTTTTGAAATTTTCATGGCTGGTGAAGTCGAATACAATGACTATTTTGATCATTTGATGTCATGGTATCCTCATCGTAATAATTCTAATATCTTTTATACTAAGTACGAAGATATGAAGAAAGATACTAAGGACGTTGTAATTAAACTTGCCAAATTCCTTGGTAAGGAGTATATTGACGCGATTGAGCAGGATAATGGTGTCTTGAACAATATTTTAAAATTTAGTAGTTTTGAGTATATGAAAATATACTTATCAGCCCTATATGAGCTTAATTCGGATTCAGTTGTTTTGAAGGAATTTGAAGGATTGCGTTACCTTCGTGATTATGCAGGTTCCCTGAATCCCCCAAAAGATAAACCCAAACCTGAATTTATAAGAAAGGGAATAGTTGGAGACTGGAGAAGTCATTTTTCCGAAATACAATTAAACAGGATAAATCAAAAGTTTCTTGAAAGAACCAAAGGCACGGAAATACAACAATGGTATAAATTAGAATAAGAAAACATATTGCTTTTATTTCAAACTTTTTTTTTTTTTTTTGGTTAAAAATGTCTTTAGCTTTTACATTGTATTTGAAATGCTGAAATGACAATTTTGCGTTTTCCTTAAAACGTTTCATCATATCCTATAGCATTAATACCAAATATTTGTATTATTTTACCATTTCAATGCATACATATGTATAAAGGAATATATATAAATAATAAAATAATTAACTCGAAATCTTCTTTTTTCTAGAACTCAGTTCTCCTTTTATTAGAAAAATTGCTCTTATTTGCTTTCTGTATTTGTGATATATCGTCATTTTAGCTATTGATGCCAATTTCTTGCCCTGAATAAATTACGATATGAAACAAATCTGACTAAAACAGATTAAATTAGTCATTGTAGCCCTTATTAGCTGTTTTAATTACCACAATACCCTTGTAATCACTTAGTTAACGTGTAAGGTACTATGACTCTTGGGCATTGGGACTCTTGGGTGACCTTTAAGGTACCCAGATATCTTCAAAATTCCATTGCAGTTGGCGTTTCTGTTGCAGAGTTTTTTTCTCAAAAAGATTGTTTTTATATCTTTAGAAATGGCATTTTTGTTGCAAAATGTTAGAATAATACGATTTTGCAAATTACTATTATCGCAAATGTTACGATACTTTTATGGTAAATATATTCTAATTGATCAGAATGTTGTATTTGCTGATTTACTCCTCCCCTCCCTTCTGAGTTTTACTTTTTCTCTTCGAAGTTCTCAAAATTTTCTCTCCACTTGTCAATCCACGTGCTGGTTACTTGAAACATGAATAAAATATTTATAGTTCTTTATAGTACTTCATTATTTTAACGAGCGACTGATAAAATTATTTGAAAGAAACATAATAAAAGCCGCAGTTTTTTAATATTTGACAAATTTTCTATGTATTAAAGTGTTTTGTTTCTTGCTTATTTTGATTATTTTTTCTTAGATTTAGGAAAGAAAGTTGTAGTGATAATATGTATTAATTTCTTTAAAAAGTAAATATGAATTAATTTTGTTGAGATCTATTAAACATAAAGGTACAGTAAATGTCACTGTCGAATATTCATTTAGATAAGAAATATTTTAAAAACAATTACGTAATTAAATGAGATTTCATCCTTGAAGATTTATATAAAAGTATTCTACATTTTTGTTAATGTACAGAGAATGTTTATTGTATGTTAAGCATATTTTCGTTTATTTCTGTATGTTATGTTATGTAGAAGTGAGGGGGCCACCTAATATTTACCCTAAGTATTAGCCCCACACACTAACTAGAAAACTAATAACATTCTGGCATCATTCTTTGTGTCGTGATGAAAATTGTGACTCCAGTGAGCACTACAAGTACTGCCACTGGCGTCAGCATCAACGGTACTCCTAACCTTTCAGCGTTAAATTAGCTCAAGTAAAAGGGATTAAATTACATGATATACATAGTTGTGCAGGTGCATATTTTAAGATGTTATCTATTGTAGTGGATACAGGCAACATGTTTCAGGACATTCTATATTGCATTAGAAACAGGCATGATGTTCCCACGTTACAAATCATTTTTGTAAACATGATCTGTTTACTATCAGAATTAATTAAGAACTATAAAATTGTTTACAAATCTTACATTTAAGTACTATTGTAAAGTGTTGCTGAAACTTTAACAGCTCAATTTTGACGATTCATTTTTTTGCTGAAACGTATGTTTCTGTTAATTGATTTTCAGAAATTACATTATTGTCTAGTAGTATATTGTTATTTGCATGTAAAAATTGATCATGACATTATAAATTGAGGTGGCTAGAAGCAATTTATTTCTAGTATATAGATCATGCCTACAATCATGATTTGTTTACATATTTTTTGTTTTTCAAACAGCTGTCAAAAATAGAAAAGAATATAAAATAATAAAAAAGACATAAATAAATAAGTCTGAAAACAAAAGAAAAAATAGCTTAATTTGCATACTTATGCTTACTACGTACTTTTAGATATATCTGCATACATATGCTGACACATTGCCAACTTATTTTTGTCAGTTCATTGTGTGCAATTACGTGTGTTTTTACAATAATTAGTTTACATGAATTACATACTATGATACATTACATTACTGATACTTTACTAACTCAATGCTGGTTATTTATTATATTGTTTACTTATCAGGTAATGTGACCTTATGTTACATAGAAATATAGGGATCATCTATTATTTACCCGAAGTAAACAGATAGGAGCCCCTTACCCTACTTGTGACCTATTTTGTGCTTCATATGGTTTGCGATGCATATTTCTTTCCTATAAAGGTACGCCCGCGTACATTATATCTGCATTTAATTGCTTTATTTTGCTATTGCTGGAGCATTTCTTTGAAGGTTAAATTACACTACATAGCTCTTGACTTCTAGCAGCCAAAAAGTCAATAACCTTCGTAATTTTATTCCTCAAGTGCTTGTTCTTAACTGCATATCTTAGAAATGGGAATATATCCTCTTCTTAATTTGGCTTCTTTAGATAAGGTAATCTGTAAACGGGCAGGAAAATAGATAATGCTTTGGGTGACCCTTTTCACCACATGCACAGGAGTCTGATGAAGAGAGATTTCTTGCATAGAGGTACGTGGGAAAGGGACCGTGCCCTGTGATAAACCACGTGATATGTATGGAGGGAGGGATTGGAGGAGAGTCAACTTTGGGGAAGAGGTAAACTCTTCTGCCTGTATTTGCAGCGTCCCACCATTGTTGCCATAAGTCTTTAGTTGTGACCTTTAGTTTGAGGTGAGAAGCTGGCCAAGGGATGCTTATTTTCTTGGCATTGATTCCCTGTGCTGCTTCCTTGGCTAATATGTCAGCCTCTTCGTTTCCCTCATGACCAACATGGGCCTTCATCCAGATTATAAAGAAGTGTTGGCCTTGGGCATTGGAGGACTTTCTAAGAATTTCCTGAGCTAATGTTGATCTATTATTTGGGTTCGCGAGTGCATGCATTGCCGAGAGACAATCTGTATAGATGTAAGTACTTGGAAAATGATGATGTGTGCTTACGTTGATTGCCTGCAAAATCGCGAACATTTCCAACTGAAAAACGCTATTTTCTTTGTCGTTTATTTCTGTATAATGCATTTAAGTTTTTATTCCTTTTATTAAACTTTTTGTCAGAGGCGTGCAGCCTAACAGAAGCATCCCGTCCATACTCGAATGGCGCTTGATTTCAAAAGATGTAAACGGATAATTCTTTTTAGTGCTTTTGAATATTAGGTAAAAATATACTTGGAAATTTTAATGCCTAAAGGTTAGGGGGCTAGCTTGTTCCCTCCTTGTCAGCCGTAATCTGTTAACAGTAGCAAAGCAATGAAGAATGTGACTATGCAATTCAAAAGACGCGTGGGAGAGTCAAAAGGTTCCGGTTCTTGAATAACAATTCTGATTCGTATTTGGATAAAAGTGATGCGGGTTAATTAAAAAATGACGTAGTTTAAACTGATATGTTATGAATAGTTACTACTTTCTGGACAGAAAGTACTCAAATTAAAATAAGAAATAAAGGGGCTACTGCTAAGTTACGGTTAATAGCTTTCATTCATATTTTATATTTTACGTATATCTGAGATATAAAATGTGAAAGAAAACTACTAATTTAGCAATTGTTCTTTAATTCTTCATTTTAATTTAGCTACTTCCAGTATCTGGAATCTCAAGTACGTCATCTGGAAAACTAATTCGCATTATGTCATTTTATTAATCCTGCAATGTGGTAAGCTCTTGTCCAATCACAGTCTAAAATTTAAAAAAGCCAAATCTATAAATACTTCTTGTAGCAATGCGCACTCACTTTGCCTACTTCCTTTCGCTGTGCCGTTGCATCGCATTTTTCTTGTTGCCCATTGTCTAAAAAATATGAAATGATACAAATAACTGCGGGGTGTTTGTCGCACCCAAAATGGTGTGTAATCGAGAATATGTGACCTAAAAATTATTCACCAAGAAATAAAATTATGTGACGAATCCACAGCTACTTTTGGTCTCCAAATTTCACTCGTCCTACTACGTATTCTATCAGTATGCCAGCAACATCTATAACCATTTCGCCCCTGACTAAAAAATAATTGGTGTAAATATAGACATATATATTTACATTTTTGTCGTGTTATGTTAATTTCCTACTTAGGAATTTGACCTACTTTATGTCCAAATTTTATAATTCATTTTCGTATTTGATACCGTATAAGAAACACTTTATTTGACAAAAATTACGTTTTTGAATTATTTATTTTATTTACTTTAAAATTTTTCAGTTACATTTCTTAACTGAAAAATTTTCTAGTTATAAAGTTCCTGTCTAAGATAAATATCAGTATTTATCGTGAAACTCTATGTACTCTTATTTTTTATTCTCTCTATATTAAGAATTTTGTTACTCACAAAACTGAGAAATGTGATATGCAAAATATTCTTTTTCTCTGAAACATTTATCATCAGCATATCAAACCAAACCATAACTTGGAAATTTACGATTGCGATTTTTAACTAGGCATTTACGGACAAGTTTCATGTGTAAAATAAAATTCATATTTCATATGTAATCTTTTTTAATAAAACGTTAAAAGCATGATATTTTTCACATATTTTTTGTTGATTACATATGAAATTTTTTAGAACTAATAAGATAAAACTTACGTTTTTTATGCATAACAACAAAACCAAAACTTAGAACTATAAGGTATAATTTTCATAGCAATTTAAATTTTAAATGCATTGAACGGCGCTATAAGTTTGTTTTATTTTTAAATTATGTAATAAGTAGGAAAACCGTTAGATGAAAACAAATCTACAGTAAAATAGTAACAAAATGAGTTTCCAGTTTTGTTCAAATGAAGCAATTTTAAGGGTACCACTATCAGGTTCAATGTTCCGTCTTACTTTCTTTGGGAACATGCACAGACCTGACTCGGAACAGGGAGCTTACTAAAGCTATGTTCAATAACTGTGGGAAGTAGACAAGATACACAGGAAGGGTATACAAAACCCTTTATTTTTCACTCTTTACAATAATTTCCGTACTTCGGAATACAGAGACCAACTACTTGTGGTCTGAACGTAAGAATATAAAAATATAACTAAACTCTAACTTAAATTTGGAATAATAAACGTGGAAGATTGGCCTTATATTAACAGGGAAGCCGTATGTAGTACAGAGAACTGTTAACACTACAATATGTTTAAAATTATCAAGAGGGTTAAACCTCTGGCCTGGAAGGCAACCAGCAACTGAGTAAAACTTCTAAGGTAAGCGGCCTGCTTCGACTAACTCCTTTCTCTCTCTCGCTTGGCAAAAAGCCACAACTTAAGTACTTGGCGTTTGCCAGACAAATTTTGCATAAATAAGTTAACGCTTTTAATTCTGGCCGGAAGTAGAAAATAAGAAGTGATAGTAAAGATTTAAAATAAAATAAACGTTAGTAAAACTTAAGATCCTTACACCACATTCTAATAACTAATTTTTGATTTTTTTATATGTAATGTTATCTTTTTATTTTTCTCCAGTCAATCAGTTTTACAAAATCTTAAGACTAATAACCCATAACAATCTTTCATATTCAATTAAGAGAGTTTTAAGATTTTTTCTAAATGTCTTTATAAATTTTTATATTCTGATATAAAGGCCTAAATACTTAATTGCTAATAATTCATATTTTATAGATAATTTCATGTCATAAACACCAATGAAAGCATTTTGAGCAGCTATTTCGGAATAAAGCCCTAAACAAGAGATTTCAAAAATAATATTAAAAATTAATTACTTTCAGCGGTAAATTTCAGCACTCTCCACTCAAAAGTTTTCAGTATTATTGTAAATACTTTAAGGTTTCATGAAACTGGGAATGGGGAAAAATCAACTTTACCCTTGCCGGGATTCGAACCACGCAATTTCTGTTCGCTATGTGGACGTCCTAATTAATTACACGACTAGAACAGGCATGAGTAATGCAATATTTCTTACATTCTCCCTCACAAAGTGAAGCACAGGACACAGTCGGAACACATCTATTTGGTGACTCAGGCGCCACAATTAAGAGTATCAAACTTTTTTGCAGCAGGAAGCATTGAAAATTCAACTGTGTTTTTGTCAGGATTCGAACCACGAATCCCTCACTTGTTAGCTGGATAATTTTAATTTTCAATACAGTTCAAATTTAAAAAACGCGTATAACTATATAAGTGTTGATTAAAATACCAAGATAAAAAGTTATGAAGAATTTCTTCTAAATTTCCAGTTCAGAATTTAAATGCAAAGTCACATAAATTTTTAGAATTTTAAAAAGGATTTAAATTCCGAACAGTTTACATAAAATATAAATTGTATAAATCCGAATCCTAGATTAAGCTTAATTTCTTCTATAAGTTTTCCGCTTTTTTATTCTGTTTAAAAATGATACTGTAAAAATAAGAACAAAATATAAAAGTAACTATTTTAATATTATGTCATTGTTTATGAATTTCACTGGAAAAAATTTGAAATCAAGTTGAGAATGTTCTTATTTAAACATCTGAGAAAATACTTTTTAAATCAAAGGTTACATGTGTGATCAGTCTCAAAAATTGTTACGACTTCATGTTTTCTCAAATTCTCTCTTTTAAAACACTTGATCACCGAGGATGAAATACAGATCTACGATTTTAATAAGAAACAGGATAACAATCAAATTCTCTACAGAAGGAGAAACAAGACCAAAAAGATCAATCAATTTTTATCATATATCAAGCTAATTTTGATTATCGTGATATTGTATACATCATGAATGGCTATCAATTAGTCATACTGTTCATAAAGAATATTTTTAGTGTTCTGCTGTGTTTATATGAAATAAGTTTTAGAAATCCAGAATTGTGGCGATATATTTCGTGGAGTGCACCATAGTAACGTATCTTCTCACGTTTCTTTTGTTTATCGTGAATTTTTAGCCAAACATTCAATAAATATGGCTCCCTAAGCCTCAGTATTTACATGGCACGGTGGGATCCTTTTTCATATTTCCGCTGTTAGTTGCTTTTGAATTTCTTGATGTAATAAAAGTGGAATCACTGCGTTTCCTGAAAGTGTTTCACAAGAACTATTTTAAAATGTTATTCGAGGATTGGAAAAAAAATACTGACTTAAAAATGCATTACAATCGGAGGGGATTTGAAGGTCATGAAACAAATATTGAACAATAATCTGAAGTCCTGCGTTTTCCGACACAGCCTGATCACAGTAGTAATTCATTTTTCATTATGTGTTTAATAACGTGAAATGCAAAAAACTAAGGTACATAACGTGAAACTCCGGAATAATGCAATACTTAGAAATGCAAAATCCTAAATAGCTTCCAAAGGCAAGAGTCTGTTAGCGCCTTTTAACATGCGACATACTGGTACATGCATTAGATTTGAGAATTTCGCAATTTAATAAAATTATTAAGAAGATGGGTTGTTATGTAGCGAAGTGAAATGCGAAATATTAATAGCTATGCTACTAAGTTGCAATCGTGTATTTCTACTTTTGTAAAATGATTCAAGATGTAACTTAATATTTCATTTCTTTTAAAATTTCACCTCCTTTTTACTTTAAGGTAAATAAGGTGGTCAAAAAATGACAACAAAAAAAAGGTAAATAGATATTAGCACATCATTTTTATAAAAACAATTTGAACTCGCAACGTTGTGGATAATAATGACAATTCATTGTTATTCATAAATTTAATAATTAACGAGATATCACTTAAGCTTAATCAATGCATATTTTCTTAGTCTGAGAAAAATAATATTGTGCTATTTTTGACATTGATTCAGAGGTATATTATCGGAAGTAAAAATAAAAATATTTTTTTCGCATTGAGAGATAATTATTTTATAAGGTATTGTAATAATGAATAGGTAATATTTAATGTGTATTTTTCGCTGTTAAGTAATTTATATTTCCACATATGGTAAACGAAATGGTATTAACGGTTCCTCTAGTAAGAATGGCAGTGGAAGAAAAACACTCTAATATCCGAATTTTAAGTTGACCTATTTTAGATCATTATATAAAATCAAAATTTCAAATAACACCTAATGTAAAGTTTTTAATAGTGATGTATTATATATAAAAATAAGCAGTTTTGCTGATATTAAGCATTCATGTGCGAAATACGTACCACTGAATTGAAAATCTACTGATACAAGAAACTCAACGAGATAAGATAAATATATTATTGTCCCCGCACAAATCTTTAAAGTTAAGGACTGTAAATGTAAATGTTCTCGCATCTCAGACTTTTAACCGTAGATGTTCAACCTACCGGAAACGCCTACTAGGTTCAAGCACTGCTGGAATTCAGTGGCACCTCAACACCAGATATCGGACATCACTCTGTATCATATAGAATAAAGGAGAGGTGAGGTGATGTAGAATGCAGAACTCACTGAGGGTTATTTTTTCCCCAGACTAGGAAGATTGCCGTAATGAAAGACTTAGGATTTTTAAAAGGGAAGTCATGGATTTTGTTCCTCTATTTATAGTACTGATGCGTCACTGAAGTCATAAACGGCACTGATATACAGTTAAAAGTAGCCAAAGTCTAGGTACTTTGCAAAAATTCTTCAATGGATATAGATGGCTTTGATTTGTTACGTGCGAAGACTGCTGAGCAACAAAATCTAATTCTTGTGTCGGAGATTTTAGAATGGCTAGCACGATTCGTAATAGTCATGTTCGCAAGATATTTGTTTGGTGGTATGACTGGATTATTTCAAATTGTGCATCGATTACATGTCAGCTCTCAGTGCATCGATTACATATAGTCGCATACATGTGATTATATTCCTTCCAACGCAAATTTCATTCTAAACATCAGTTTGTTAAAAGGATAATATGCAGTTTTGGTGCCTACAATTCTCTCGTGACCAATATCAAAAGTGTGCTGCTATGGCTGCCTTTCTCTTCGACTGTCATTACTAAAGTCGCATGTGCAGAAAAATCGCTATCAGACACAATTCCAATATTTAAAATTGGGCTTTCTGTCCTTTCTTTCCCATACTGCTTCAGAAGGGCTGTAGTGGGGATCATAGTTTTCATATGTTCTGTCCTGCTAATCATGTTCAGACCCTTCCATGGCCTTTCGGGTAAACCAGATGTGATCTAGGCTGATACAGCAATCTTAACTACTGTCTCATTGTTTATCACGCGTTGCCTCTCTCGGAGTGATAACGTTTGGTAAGCAAATTTGGGTTCCTTTTTTTTATATGTATTTCAAATGAATTTTTCTTTTCCGTTTGTTAAATTATGATTTACTTTTCTTTGCTTTTCTTTTTTTTTTTTTTTTTTTCGCTCTGATTTCTGATTAGCATTGCATTTTGGAAAATACATTTACTTACTTATTAATTATATTTTATATGTGTTTAGGACGTAAGATTATGTTTTAAATTTAAATAAATATGATTAACGTTTGTGAACTATTGAAATTTGTATGTTATGATCATATCAAAAATTTAATTTGTATACAAACTTATCTGAGTACACTTAAGTGCACATTTCCAATTCAATCTTTTATTATTAATTTATTTCTCTCGTTTTTAATTTGCTAATTAAAAACTTTATGCTTAAACATTTTAATGCACATTTCAATATTTTCCTTTTAATCAACATTTCTCACCGCCTTTTATCAGGGCTCTGATACTTTTTATTTCAGAAATTTGGTTCAGATTATTAGCAAAAGCAGAATTCTTAAAAAGTTAATTTCAAGAACAATCTGCATAGTTTTTTAAAGGACCGGGCTCTTTATTTAATAGCCATTAGCCTTGCGTCACTACAAGGGCTGAAAGTGGTGGCCATTTTATTATGAAGGCACCTAATAGGTGGCCACCGTAGCCCAATTTAAAAGGGACGGACAGCTACAACCATGTCTTCTCCGGGAATCAATCCCGGGCCTTTCGCTACGGCAGTCATGGTCAATAACCACTATACCGACTGGGCAGCTCAAACTACATAGTTACGAATAAGAGTTTGAAATACTGGTATTTTGTGAAACGGATCCGAATAGATTCGAACCCAAAATACGGAAACCGAATAGTAGCTTATAAAGTTGCTGAACAGCCATTTATTTTCCAATAAATAATAAAACATTTTATTGTTATTAAACTGTTTTGGTGGACATTAATAAAGATTTGCATTTAGATATATTTTTTATATTTCTATTTATTATTTCTATTCTTAGATTTCTGTTTAGATTTATTTTTTGTATCAAAATTAAATTGAATGCTTAGCATTATCTTTAACGAATCTGAATACTGATTGAAATATTAGTGAGTATCCTGCAGGAAACAATAAAATCATCTGGAAATGTGAATGATCATCTTAGGAAGGTTTTATTGCACAAAATGAACAAAATGAGTTCTATTTTTATTTAAATAGCAATATTGGAAGAAAAAAAAAAAAAAAAAAAGATTTTTACTCATATTTTAGAGGATTTTAAATGCATTTGAAAGCAAAAATTTTCAATTAGCAGAAGAATGCCCTTTTGACTAATTTCGATGTGATTCAAAGTTTTAACAAAAGGTAATTTATCCAGAATTTTAATTCGCATTTAATGCATACAAATAGCGTATATTGCAACTTCGATTTAATAAAAACTGAAGCTTAAATGACAAGGGCTTATCTCATTTTTTACAGTTACCCTAGATTCTTCTATTACTCATTGGCATGAAATGTGGCTTTTTTCATATCATTCTCATTAGATTGAATGATTTGGTATAAATGAAATGAAGAGTTTTATTAGTAAAAGGTTTAGTCATTATTGTTTTCTGTAAAGACTTCCTGTTCTTTTCCTATTGTTAAGTTTCAAACCTTTCAGAAAAAATCCAAATGTTATTAAGATTTCATTTCGACATTCATTTATACCTTTGTTATTTCTATAATCCATAGTTCTATTTGGGAGAGCTTTCGATTTTGTATATTCGATTCATATCACTACTTCAATTAAGTCTTAATGACTTTTATTTACACACATCTTTTATATTACAATATATACGTAATTCGAGATTAATTTCAAATCAAAAGATGGGAATTAACCCCCGTTCGTATCAAATTCTATCAAGAGAAACCGAGTGAGCGACTGCTCTCTTCCAAGTTCGTTTTTCGACTCCTCGTTGCCACTGGCAGAAGAGAAACTTTCGCTCATTTCGCGTTCGAGTTGTAACAACATTCATTTGTTATTCGTTTCATTTAATAATTTTTGTCCTAAATTAATCGAAGTGACTTCTAATATTTGTGGAATAAAATGCAACTGCGAAATAATATATGGGGTGATTGAATTACAGAAAGAAAGGAATGGACTCATTAATCTGTCTCCTCTAATTTGATCAGGAATCGCATTATTCGATAAATCTTTATTTTCTGTGAAAATATCAATCCTGATGTAACAGCTTTGTTACTCATAAAAATTTATACCGAAATTTAACATTGATGCAAATACAGAAACTATGGGGGGAAGGCATTTGGATACGTCACGCTTCAAACCAAGTACTGAAACGGAGTAACTGATAAAAGACTCGTATGAATTCTAGGACTCGGATCTGAAAATCTTTGGTTCTATTATTTTCTTATTTAAATAATTGTGGCAGATTACGTAGGAGTTCTCTACCGAACTAGGATGACGACTTCAAGGAACTCTTTTAGGGAAAGTGGTTAATTAGATCAGCTCATCAGAACTAACCAAAGAGCGATAATTTTATAGGAAAATTTCTGCCTTGTATTCACATCATACATGAGAAAAACAACGAAAATCTTTCTGCAGCTAGTCTGAAGGCTGGGTTTTCAAACTGGATCGAAACTCCATTGCCCATTAGTCATGTACTCTTCAACACAGGTGGTCCCACTTAAGTTATGAAGCACGATAAAAAATTTCGGTATTTAGATATGATTCTGAATTCTGATTTTGTAACTATAGGTACTATTCAATAACTATAGATTGTAACTATAGATCAATTTCTTTTTAACCCAGAGTTGCAATGTGCTCCACTTTATATATATATATATATATATATTATTTATTTCTACATCTGTATAATTATGTACGGTAAAAATTTGAACAAAAAAGACAACGCTCTCGGGGACCTAAAGATGGACTTTTAATTTTTACAGAAATACTTTACTACATAAAACATATTCTATAAAAGCCAAATGAATTCTCTGGCACCAGTTAATTATTAATAAAACATCATTTAAAATGTTTTTGTATATAATAAGCTTTTATTTAAAAAGGAAATGATCATTAATGTAAAAGGAAACATATAATTTAATAGGAATAATAGATTAAATAATTTTATTTTCAGTATTCATCACCAATTAAATCCTAATAAAAGCATGGAGCGGCCACAAGTTTATACATTTGATAAAGCAATTAAATTAATAGAAAATTAAAAAATAATAATGGCTTATGCATTTGACGAAGGAATTAAATTAATAGATTTCGTTTTCTAGGCATCCCACGCTTTTATTAACTGCTATATAAAATTGTAGATGAACTCTGTAAAAGTTTTTAATGTACACTGCTGGTTATCCAAAATGCAACACGAAGAAGGACAAGAGATATCAAATCCAAATTTATTTTTGAGATTATACATAGTATTAATACTAATTTATTTGAAATACAGCTTTCCTTGAGGTGAGGAAGACGAGAAAAATCAATAATAAGTGTTGCTCGTATGTTTGTCAATAACCATTGATACACACAGTGACATTGACTGAAAGAGGTTTTGGATATGTTGTTGGGGAATGGTAGCGCATGCTGCCTCCACACGTAGCCAGAGTTCATCTGGTGCACCTGCGGGTGTGGCATGCTGGGCTAAGCGTTCTCCATTCACTGACTAGATATGTTCAGTGGACGATAGATCTGGAAAACAGGTAGGTCAGCGTAACGATGCAATAAAATTGAACTAAGAAGAAAGCTTGAACGTTGCGTGTAATGTGTGACCGCCCCTTATTCTGTTGAAACGGGCGGCAAGCAAACCCTGAAGGTAAGGAAGGAAAACAGGATTCAAAATCTTAGAGATATAGCATTGGCTGGTAAGTGTACCGATAATCCGTACTAGGGTGCAGGAACGGAATCCAATACAATCGCACATGATAATACTGGCTGCAGGATCAGTATGACGATGCATAACACAATAGTCGAGCTGCCTGTCTCCACGGTGTATCTAAACTCTAATCTAGTCCTGCAGGCAAAAGTGTGATTCGTCTGAAACCACAGTGTTATGCCGTTCAACGCACCACTAAAAACGCCTGTCGTTTAAAAATATGCGAAGCAGTAGACACGTAGCAGACATTCCATTGTATTGTAAATGACATCAGTGGTTCGTACAGACACTGATTGTTGTGCTACAGACTGCGTTCGTTGTAATATGGTTGCGGATGTGATAGTGCATTGCATCAGTGCAATGCGCACAATATGCCTGTCTGCCCGTGGAGTGGTGCGAAGAGGTAGTGGACGAGGTCGTATAATTTCTCCTGTCCGTCAGTCATTTCCTCCTGCAATCCACCGATTACATATTTTCATGATCGTTTCTTGAATACGACCGACACGATGACCAATCCAGGAAGGATAATCCACAATCTCTGTATGCAATGCTTCTGCACGGTAGAACTCAGAAACTTGCTAGAATGATGCTTATGTTTTTTATGAGGCCTGCTGAAGCTGCACACGCAAAAATTCTCACGAGAGCAATTCACGTTATTCAAAACGGCAGTATATCCTTCTTTCATACTCGGTATATAAGAAGCGCTGTAGTCGTCCGTGATGTAGCGTGCGTTGAAATCGTAATCATTTGCATATTCCATTTCGGTATACACATGAAGCAAGTTTCATGGTATTTCGATGGTTATTCGTATACGATGTTGCAGTTTGGATGGCCAGCAGTATATTATTCCGAAACTGTATGATAGTATATTATTTTTCTCTTTTTAGTGCATTATAATTATCATATCCAATTTAAATAACAGCTTATTGTATAAAAAACTTTTTAATTGCATTTTATTTTCTATTTTTTAGTTTTAATTACACATTATTAATGATGATACAAATTAATATATTAAGTCATTATTTAAGCGCGAGCAATAAATTGTGAAATAAAGAAAAAAAAGTAGCTGAACGTCATCCAGGGAATGAAGAAATCGCTTTGAATATTAATATTCGAAAATTGGAAATAATTACATTGTTA